GTTGATATTTGTAGCCGATATGGAGGAAACATCGTTTAATATTGAAAATGTTTATGATGAAAATGAACTAATGAAAACGATAAAACAAACTGTCTACCTTCGATCGGACGTGGCTCCTATACTTAATAACAATTTACTTAACACAGCCCCCCCGAAAATTATCGAACTGCTTTAAAAATTTGTAAATGAAGGTTTAGGCTAGCGCTTGAACCGCTGCGAGTCCTTACAAATTGGCTTCGTTAAATGCCAGCCTTTCCGTGCTCAAAGCTACATAAAAACTCCCATTTGCATTCCAAAGCATTATGTTATCAGTTTTAAAAATGTTGATAATAGATGCTTCGAATGGGCTATACTTAGCGCATTATACCCTGTAGACCCTAATTGTAAAGAGCATGCAAATTGCACAACTAAATACAGTCAGCATCTTGGCGAGCTTCACTTTGATTGAATTCCCAATTCGAAATCCAACGCTCTAGGTTAATGTGATTGCATTGAATACTTGTCTTTACCCATCTTACGTTAGCAAGAATTATATCAATATTTTATAAAAACCCACATTATATTTGGATAAAAAATTTAACTGGAATGTTTTAATATAATAGTAAGTTTAATGCAGGAAAACACCCTTGCCACTGCTGTCTCCATGTATTTAGCACTGCTGTTTTGTTGGAAGCTAGACAGCCGAGATTGCTTCAGTATCGGAAATAAATGCAGCGGACTGTAATGTCAGAAAAGGGTAAAATGATGTGTGTAAATTTACTAATCACCACAAACAGATGCGCCTGCCCTATATTGTCTATACGGATTTCGAATGTTTAATCCCAATAGAAGGCTTGCAAAACGATCCAGCAAAAAGCTAAACTTTTAGCTGCGTTGCTTGCTTGACCTTCATCTGCGAGCTTAGTATTAATTTTATCAATAGCATCAGCACGTTTTTGTTTCCATTCTGCTTTAGCTTTTTGTAATAGTTCATCAATTAATATTCACTATATTAATGTGGACTATTTTGAGTAAATAATTAGTAATAATTCTCAATTGAAAACTATTAAAAATAAAAAAATAATGTCAAGAAATCACTTTATTTACTTGTTTGATATCAACTCAAAGAGGCAAACGGGTGTAACCTATGCTCTTAAAGAAGCGCTTAGGACATCTAACTTCTCGCGAATTGGTGTTAAAAAAATAATATTTAAAGTCGCGCCGCCAACAGAATCAAAAATATTTTTTATCAAATGTCCGGACGTAAAACCAATAAGTTCAACTTTTAATGGAGACAAAGATCAAATAATTCATTGTGGCTGTCTCACACCTGATAGAACGAAATTGTATGTTACTTGGGATGCAAATAAGTATGTTACTTGATAAGCAATAATGTATGTTATTCGGGAAGCAATAAGGTTTATTGGAAAAAATATAAACTTGATTTGAACTTGACCGAAGTAAAATAAAACTTTATTTAGACTTAATCAAACTTATAACGCTAACACTGAACTAAATTGTAAGCATTTGCTTTCTGAACTTTGTAAGCAAAAAGAAAAAGTTTTAAACATGGAAGAACAAGAAGTGAAAACAAAAGAAAATATACCAAAGAAAGAAAAACCCTTCATGGATTCAAACAATACTAACCTCGTTTATGATGTTATCAGTGTTGAAGCAATCGCGGCTATTATTTTGTCATGAATAATTAAGAAGAGTTGCCTCCCCCTAAAATAATAAAACCAGCGCCTGAGTCGCTAACAGGGATAGGTATCATTGTAACTGCAATTGAGCCTGCGACCACTCCCGTTGTCAACCCAACTTTATTACAAATGGCGGCAGCGATAGATAAACGCTTTGAAATTTTTTTCCTAATTGTGCTATTATTCCGGAATTCATCTCCTAACACGCTCACCCTTTTTACCTACGACAAAGCCGTTTGAAATTGTCAAGTTGATGGGGTATCAACTGAACAATAATATGGAAAGTTGTAAAGAATGCTTGTATAAATTGGATTGCTTATTTATAGCATATCCAAGAGAACTCGAATTATGAGTAAAATAACAAAATATTTTTGATGGGCTTCCGTTATATGTTGTCGTGTTTGAAAATAATTTGTCGCATTCTATTGTAAATTAAGCGTTAATTAATGTTGTATCGCTACAACATTAATTAACGCTGTCTAGTAATCTTAAAGCTATTTTAGTCTGTTTTGTTGCTACTAACGGCGCTGTTAAAGTAACCCACATGGTGCCAGTAACATTACCTTGATAAACTGTGTGCGTTTGCTTCATTTTTACTTCCCATCAACAACAAAACGTCTTTCATCACAATGGTGAACCCAACTTTGCTATCTCTTTTCAGAAATGTTAAATTCATTTTTTATCTCCTCGAGTTGAGCGTTATCAATACCAATTTTCCATGGATCGAAATTTGTTGAAGCTGGTAAATTAACACCTAAAGACCAAAAAATACTTTTTACTGTATAGTAAACGTGAAACTGTAAATACATGGCATATAATTATCGATACAATGAAGTTTATTATTGACACTCCACAAGCCGCAGTTGCGAGTGATACGGCAAAATTTAAAATATTTATATAATTAATGTTGCCAGAGGGTTCTACCCACGTTTGGGGTGGATCAATTACTTCTGGATATGAGTAAGAAAAATGTTACTATACCTCGTACGGAATGAAAAGTTTGCGTTAACTTATATTGTTAGCGTTTCCAAGCCTATTATTCTTATCGAACAACGCAATATACCATTTGTAGCGATAGGTGAACTATTAGTCTCTTTACCGTCGTTAATTGTTAATGTTATTCTTGGTAAAGCATTAACAAATTCATACTTAAAGTTTGGATTAAACTCTGGAGTGGGGTAATAGTGCTTTCCACCACCAAGATAAACCCCTTTAGGGTTTCCAGCAACAAATACGTTTGTAAAAACAGGATAACCGTTAAACTTGCCTCGTTCTTACCTTAATTTAAACTTAAAATGGTCACGAGGGTCCCAGCATCTTTGTGTAGCAGTATCTACACAAAGATGCTGGGACCCTCATAACAGCCATTTATTTATAATAGCTTACTTTCTTTTAAAATTTATTTTCCATTTTTCTAATATTTTGACTTCTTAAACTTTTCATTAGTATTTTATATAAAAAGAAAGTAATAACGATTATGACTAATCATGTTTTGTATGAAATCTAAAAAGCTTATTTTGCTCCTACATAAAATAAACATCTGATTAACTCGCCGATGATTGCAGGAAGAACAGCATATGCCTTTTTTGGTAGATTTTATGGTAGATTTACAGATTATGCTATAAAAACATTTCTTCATCCCAATGGTTTAACGTCTTGAGGAGAACTTGTAAGAAAAGAATAGGACTATCAAAATGCTTTAAAAAGGCAATATACTAAAACATCAGGATGAAGTAAATCCCAGTCAGCCCAATCTTCTCTAGATCTATTTCTATTGATAAGCGGGATTCCTTCCACACCTTCAGTCTTTTTACGTGTAAGCAATATATTAGATAGTAATCAGGTCTTTAATAAAACATTCAATATGGCTTCAAGTCTAAATAGTAGCTATGGAACTTTGCAAAACCCCTCCCGCGACGTTATTAAAAGGCACGGACCTAAAAGGGATAGGCAATTTATAACAGTTAACCTTGCCCTATTAACTTTTGCATCTCTTTTAGCCAACATGGTTGTTGTTCCTGGATCAGTCCGATTAATATACGATTTCCTTTTAACTCGAGGTACTGACTTGACCGTGAGGATCGTTGCAAATTTAGGATGAGTAGTTATTCAAAAACTTACTGCAAGCCCAAGAGATACAATCATTAATGGACTATGGAGATTACTGTAGTGTTCGAGACCTGTTCCTCCCAACAACTCAGCCGGCTTTACCTGACAGGCTTATGCAAAGCATTGATGAACAAGCTGAGCCCAGAAGTCTTACTCGTCTTAGATCAGGTTTTTCAACAGGTTGCACTACTGGCCCAAACGCTGCAATTTATCTTGCTTACGGACGCAGACCCCAATGGGTCTATGTATTGCACTCCCCTCGATTCTGAACTCTTCAATGGTAAAGGACCATTTTACCCCTCAAGCTTTGCAGATCTGCTCGAATGCGAAATTGTTTCGCAAGTCATTATTTCTACTAACACTTCAACAACTCCAAATTGTTCACTCAACTACATTGCTTTGCCACCTTTTTGAAAAAATGTTCTACTGCTTTGCTGACTTTTCTTGTAACTCAAGCAACAAAACAAATATGGTAAATAGTAAAGACGGTTTTCAAGCTGTGACAACAAATGGATTTTACGCAGGCGCCCAATAATTTTTGGCTGACAATTTCAAATCTGCAAGCAATCATCGCTTATCAGGAAGCGGTTTAAAACTAAGTAACTCAAGGGGATGTATCCCAATAACTGTTTCTCGAACAACTGGTACTTGATTAGTTGACGTTCTTGTGTTCTATGTTTAGACACTGTAGTTCAGTTTGAGAAAGAGCAATTCAGAAACGTTGTATATTTGTGTAATAAATTAATCGTGTCCGTTATGATATTAATCTCTCCATGGAATGGCCGCTTGATAGTACTAAACCATGAAGAGAAAAAGTTTTCCGTACGTTTTTAATTTCATGTGTCAAGAAATATTTTCAGACCAGAGAGAGACCTCAAGTGAGACCACTCGGGAGACCTCTCAGGGTAGCATCAAAGCAGATGTAAAATACACGTCACCCTCTCAGGGTGGCGTCAAACCCTTACTTTACATCTACTCAATGTAGAGCAAATTTAAAAATGTCGCATTTATCAGCAGCTTTTCTAATTTTTTACTCACAGCTAAAACTACATATCATTCTATTTTAGAAGATTGATTTTTCTTGTATATAATTTATTATTACCGTTAATTACATTAAACACTATTAATAAGCGAAGTTAAGTTATAAAAAAAACAATTTCTTTGAATTTATTACTAATATTGCTTTTCTTACAAAAGAAAATTATATTTTAGATTAAAAACAAAATTATCAAACTGTATACAGCACCATATAATGGTAGTATGGTATAAATAACTCGATATGCAAACCTACTGATGCATTTCGGTACTTTTAATACATTTGGTATTTCTAAACTTAAGTTATTTTTTACAATAATGAAGCACAATAATATAAAATATTTTATAAATAAAAATTAGCAGTGTTTCTCTTTAGTTTTTCCTTTGGACATATTTAAAGTGAATCCGAAATAATGTTTATTCCCTATAATTTGTTTGTTTTATTATTTTTCATCCATCCTATTTCATTTTTTGCATAATGTTAGATGTTATAGACCTGCTATTAATAACACAATAAGTACTTTCATATGTTTTAGCTTTGTTCCAAAAATGAAATTGGGTAAGAAATATTAACAAAAACTTGGAAATCGTTCATATGCGTTATAAACTTGGAAGTCGTTCATTCGATATATTTAAAATTTACTGATATATTTAAAATTCAATGAAACATTAAATGTAATCAATTTAAAAGACTATGAATTCCATCACATTCCAGCTCAACTATTTGATAAACTCTAATTTTCATTACAATGTATTAAATGTTTTTAAATTATTGTTTTTTTTAAATAAATATTCATCAAAAATTGTTCTTTTTTTTATTGTATTTTGAGTTGGTATATTGACATTCACAGTTTGTATTGTTTTTATTTCATTATTTTCGGTCGCGTAATATTTTTTTTTGTTGGCATTGAACTTAAAGCTTATCTTTGTATAGAGTAAAACGGGGTTGTAATGATTGTTACCCAAACAATTTTCTCTGGACAATAATTTCAAACAATCGTTCAGAATAACGATAAGCGATTGCGGAATAAGTAATTCCCTTTAAAGAATTACACAGAAAATGATTGCTAAAGAATTCCCTTAGAGACAAATACTGCGCGAGGAATTAGCATTAAAAAGCCGTAGCGCTAAACTAAATGATGGTTGAATAAACGATACGAGAAGACTACACACCGTTAATATAATGATTAGATTTAACAATTTAATATATAGATATAGAAATTTATATTAAATAACTGAACAGCGGGGAAAGCTAAACACTTATGAAATCTTTTTAGTTTTTATTAAATTCGGTTTTAAACAAAAATATTTAAAAATTATTTTTGTTCTATGTTATGGAGAATTTCGTGCTCTATCTAATGACATAAAAATAAAAAAAAATTTCAAATAATTTTCGTATTAAACTCAAAAGTTAGAGGATGGGGATTAATTTTTTTTAATTTGATTATAATACCGGAGTAAAAAACTCGAAAATAAAATGAAAAAATATGAAAGTAAAAAGATATATTTGTTGTAAAGGTTGCGCTGATTGAAAATCTTTTTTCAGAAATGAAATGATTACTTCTTGAAAAGCGTTGAATGACAGAATTACGGAAAAGTATATTTTCGAGTGAAACTAAACACTAATAATTTTCACACTTACTATAGTTACTCTTCTTCGTTACTCGATAATATAATTACGAACAATTTCTATGTTTGCACAGGTATAATTAAGACAGACCTTTCTGATCACTTTGAGGAAAATTAACTTTTTAACTTTTTAACTACTAAAAATATAGCATCAAACAATACCACTCATAAATCTCCTATATACAAGCGAGAGATCAATAAAAACTCCATACAAAAGTTCAAAAATTTACTAAAAAACAATGTTAACTGGGATCTTATATTGCAGTCAAGCGTTGCAAACAACGCATACGAACTGTTTCTAGGTCAATTTTGTAAACATTTTGAAGAAGCGTTTCCAGTTAAAATTGTTATTTTAAACAAAAAATTTTTAACTTCCTGGATGTCAAAAGGTTTAATTAAATCCTCTAGAAAAAAAAAAAAAATAATAAAACTTATAAAAATGGAATAACATACAAAAATTATAAAAACTTTTTTGAAAAAACAAAACAATATTCAAAAAAGCTTTTTTATTCAAATTTGTCAAAAAAAAACTATGGAAATGTTAGAAAACATGGAATACAATTAAAGAGATAGTCAGTAATTAATAATAATACAAAAAGCAATCTGTCAAAAAAACTATTGATTAATGGTAAGTTAGTCAATGATAAGATAACAATAGGCCGGGTGAATAAAAAAGAGCAATTGCTTTTACTCAGTAATTGTTCAGTTTTATGTGAATAAAAAATTGAGTAATTTTCCTTAAATTTTTATTTACGTAAAGCTGAGCGCTGTTGGAGTAAACTGCTCAGCTTTACGTGAATAAAAATTTGAGCAATTTTGCTTAAATTTTTTTTCACGCAAAGCTGAACAGTTACTGAGTAAAAGCAATTGCTTTTTTTTATTCACCTGGCCTAATAGCTGAACATTAAAATAGTTTCTTTCTTAATGTGGGTGACAAATTAGCAGCAGAAATTCCGTCAAGTTCTGCAACATTTCATTCATACTTGAATAAGAACCTTACCTCAGAAAAGATTATGAAAGAAACAAATCTAGATTTTAATGAATTGCGATCCGCCTTAAATACTTTAAAAAGCAACAAAAGTGCGGGCTTTGATAATATCAGTAGCTTTATCGTTAAATCAGTATTTGATATCATTGAACCATCATTGCATCACATCTTCAATCTCTCATTAAAATCAGGTATTGTCCCTGACAAACTAAAAATTACCCAAGTCACCCCTATTTGTAAATCTGGAGGTGATTTTGATACTACTAATTATAGACCTATATCAGTTTTACCATGTTTTTCCAAGTTATTAGAACGCATCATGTATAAAAAAAACTTCTAAAAATTTAAAGGAAAAAAACTCAGAATATATTAAGGAAAAATTTTTAGAAAATGAATTTGTTACTCGTGAGGAATATCATCAACTTCCCCAACTTGTGCTAAAATTATCAGAAGAAATTAAAACTATAGAGAAAAAGCTTCATTATTTACTTCTATAGCAATTACTTTACCTCAACTCTTAATTTATTTTTTGGTAACAAATTAAAAGTTTGATATAATAGTGCTTAAGCATACTAACCTCAAGTTCGTGTTGCGGAGCGCTCTTTTAACTAAATATTATGGAGGAGAAATAATGAGTAAGAATAACCCATTTGAGTTTTTTCAATCATTTATGAATCAAGAAAATTTAGCAAAATCAATGAAATGGATGCCAAATATGGATATGACATCTTTTGGGAATATGATGAAGGAAACTGCCGAGGCTATTACATCCACTAATCAGCTAATCTCAGATACTGTTCAATCGATTGCAAAAAGGGGGGGCCGATTCTTTTCAAAAAAATACTTCTGAGATGTTTAATACAATGAAAGAAGCAGCTTCGGCCGGCGATGTAGAACAAATTGCAAATTGCCAACAGAATTATTGGAAATCAACAGTAGAGAACAACATAAATAGCGCTAAAGAGATCTTGGATATAACGTCTAAATCTTCAATGGAAGTCTTAGATGTTATGAACAAAAACTTTACAGAAAAAATGAATAAACCTTTTGCCGCAAAAACTAAACACAATTAAAGCAATATTTATATTAAAATTTATCGGTAGTGTGGTTAGTTATCCTCTCTACCGGTTTCTTATACTCTAGAAAATATACGGGAATTGATTGTTTATAACCCATTTATGAACAGATTATCGCACCACAATACCATAAAAAAACCATATAAATATCAACTAAATACTAGAAGCTTTAACCATAAATAATTATGTTATAATAAGTAAACCAATCCGAAAACCTAATACGGGAGCAAAAACTACAATAACTAGGCAAATTTTCCTACCTCATTAGTACTGTTTACTTTTTTACAGCTTTACAGCTATTTGACAGAAAACAATTTTTTATACGGCAAACAATTTGGATTTAAAAAGAACCACTCAACCGACCATGCTATAATTGAGCTAGTAACTCATATATCTAATGTCTTTAGTAATGGTTGCTTTACGTTAGGAGTTTTTATTGATCTTTCTAAAGCTTTTGACACCGTAAATCATGACATTCTTCTAAAAAACTTGAAGTGTATGGAGTAAAAAATAATAACCTACTTTGGATGAAAGATTATTTATCAAACAGAAAGCAATACATTCACTATGAAACAACAAAAACAACAAAAAGCATAATAACTTGCGGGGTTTCCCAAGGTTCGATCTTGGGACCGTTATTATTCTTACTCTATATAAATAATTTATATTCAACATCAAACTTATTAAATTTAATCTATTTGCGGATGACTCCAATCTGTTGTGTTCACATAGAGACATTAAGACACTTTTTAACATAGTTAACAAAAAATTAAATAAAATAAACGAATGGTTCATGTATAACAAACTCTCTTTGAATGTCAAACAAACTAAATTCATCCTATTTTATAAACCAAATAAAAATGAAAATATTCCTCTTAAACTACCTGATCTAAAAATAAACAATACTAATATAAAAAGAGAAAATTTTATAAACTTTCTAGGTGTGGTCTTGGATGAAAATTTGTCGCGGAAACTCCATATAAACACTTTAGAGAGAAAGCTCTCAAGAAATATTTCATTAATGTATAAAGCAAAACCTTTCCTATCATGTCCTTAAAAAGTTTATATTTTTCATTAATACACAGTCATCTAAGTTATGGTAACATGGCCTGGGCAAGCACAAATTATGCAAAGCTTAAAAAACTCTACAGTAAACAAAAACATGCCGGTAGAATTGTCTTTGGAGTAAAGAACTTTTTCGGAGCAAACTTGGAGCGTTGAATTTATACAAAATTAAAATACATCTTGTTTTGCAGTTTATGTACAAAATAAAATATGGACTGTCTCCACCCATATTTCAATCATATTTTAGCAAAATAAGCCATAAATACCCTACTAGATTCTCATATAACAACTTTATCATCCCAAAGTTTACATTTAATATAGATTCATATTCAATCCGACACCGCGAACCTTTTATGTGGAAATTTTAACTCAGATTGTCACAATCAAAAAAATACACTTGAACAGTTGAAATCTGAATCAAAGTGTTTTTTATTATCTACGGACCTAAATTTTCCTTTTCTTTTTTAGTAAAATAATGTAAACTTGCACAACTTATTTCTTTTATATGCTTTTAATTTTACTTGATCTAAACTCGTTTTAAAAAAAGAATTTATACTTTAACAGTTACATCAATAGTATTGTTTCAATAAACCTTATTATGAAACGTAGTTTTACGCATTTTTTTGTATATTTTATCATGAGCATTTATCACGATTTTATATATTTTATTATAAAAAACAACCTGTAATAAAGCCATA